ATAATTTAATTTAACGTTTTTAATAAAACAATTATTCCACTCGCGCTTGTTGGATATGAGATGATTATAGCCAACTCGGCGCTACGCGCCTCGTTGGCTATCTATCATCTCATATCCAACGCGCGCTTGTGGAATAATTGTTAAATAGTGACTAACATCTAATTTCCCCTTACAATATCACCCTTAGTCAAACATTAAGGTCATGAGAATAAAGGAAATGGTCATTAACAAATTAAGCTCTTGCTTACCAAAGGAAACGTACAGAGAATAGTGAGGAGAATATGGGTAATAATGTGGGTTTAGTCTCTTTTTTTTTTTTCTTTTTGACGGAATTTACTCGCATTTTCAGGGCTCGACACTAACCGTTTTCAACTTACTAACCAAGTGGCTAGTGAAAACTTGGATGTTACGACAATTACAGTTTGTTTACCAGCCAAACTGGCTAATGGAAATCGGAAACCACTTGCCAAAACTGAATTTCTACTAGTCTGTGGCTAGTTTTCTACCGTTAGTTTCGAGCGCTGATTTTGCTGCTATCCAATTTTGACTGGCAATGGGAAATTGGGGGTGCTGCAAATTATTGAGGAGGTTATACAAAGTTTTTGTACGGTTTTTTACCTTGAGTGGTACGTTTCTATAATTTTGTCTAGAGAGAAAGAGCTATATATTCGGACCGCTTTCTGTTTATTTTAGCGCTCTGTTTTTTTTTTTTTGTTTTTTTTGTGTTTTTTTGCGGAGTCAAAAATTGGTCATAAAGTATTGACGTAATAGGCTATGCGCGATGCGATATACACGCTAAACTTGTGAGAGAGGGTAGGGTAACTCAAATGTTTCTCTAGAAAACGTGCTTTTACATGATAATTTGTTATGGTCAACAAACTTTTGCTTTGTGTCATGCCAGTTTCAGTGCTACCTTTTCCCGAAATACATGGCTCAACACTAACGGTAGCCAACTAGCCACTGACTAGTAGAAATTCAGTTTTGGCAAGTGGTTTTTGATATCCAATAGCCAGTTTGGCTAGAAAACAAACTGATATTGTCGTAACATCAAAGTTGTCACTAGCCACTTGGCTAGTAAGTTGAAAAGCTAGTGTCGAGCCCTGTAAATGCTTGAAAGAAAGGGACGGAAAACATAAGGGCAACCAAAGGTTTTTATCTTGAATCATTTTTCATTGATTTGCTTCGAATATTGTCAATCCAGACAAAAGGTAGCTTAAAGCGGCAGAAGAGGCCGCATTCAATATTGACGGAGTCGATTGTAGTTTCCATCTCCCACTTTTGGCTCACTTCTCCTTAGCTGTTCGCTTACAAGTCGTGGCCATTTTCCCCAAAGTAATACAATAGAATTTTTATTACCGCCAAACTGAGTGAGCATTTTCTTCTTCTCTACAGTCGCTTGACGTGACGAAACTATCGACCCCCACAACACAACAAGGTGACTGGATTAAGGTAAAAGTTGCTTGGTATTCCTGCTGGCTGTTTTGTTATCAGGTATCATAAGTAAACTACGACATCGACGACAAAGGGACCAATGAGAAAAAACTTTAAAGGCTTCTCGAGGAGAACAAAAGCACTGTTGGTGCGTTTTCTAACTTTTTTCGTTTCCCAGCCGTTCTCTGCAAAGGAGCAATGAAAAATTTCTCTCAGTCTGAGCTGAGGCTTCAACAAACTTTTTCCTTAAGTTACCACCGAGTGTGTCATAGGTGGCTGTGTTTGGAAAAGGTCCGTAAGGCGGAACACAAATACCAGAGCCTGCTCGCAGGTACAACAGACGGCGGTAGACCGCCGCCAATCGGCTTTTATTTAGAGATTTAGCACTGCGTTTACGTGAAACGGCAAACGTCAGCTCACCCTTTCACGTTTCGCTTAATATAGCGTGAACCCTACTGCTTTACCTTAGCGTGAGCTGACGTCATGGTGGATTTGAGGGCGCCCTTGTATGACTTACGAGGAATAGTCTTGGGGCCCTTTTTCTGGCAATTGATTTCTACTTGTGAGAGAAAAAGTGAAGAAAATCTAACGTACACGGCAAACGCGAAACAGGTTACTTTCACGTAGAAATGGTAAAGCGCAACCGGTAAACGTGAAAAAGTGGCGGGGGAAAACAAGGTCACGTGGTCTCTCGCCGTTCACATTTCACATAAACGCACTGCGAAATCTCTCTTTTGAAGCACCAGCTGAGAACGGGAAACAACAGCAAATTATGCGCTTTTACATCTGGATCTCAACGCTGCCTCCATATGCTATAACAAAGACGGTGTCTGGCGCCTCTAAGGAGGTTAACACAGAGAGCCATTTGCGAAAATGTTTAAGAAAATTTTTGTATCGTTTTTGTTAGACATTTCCTTCGTTGTCGCCGTCGTCAATGCTTAAGCCCCCTTTTGTGATTAGCATATAACTTCTCCCTTTAGCGTCCATGCATTATCCAGCAAACAGGTAGTGAGAATACTCAAACGTATCAGGTAGAAACTGTTATCTTGATCAATCAAAATCTCGTAACTAATTTACGAGGAAATGTGTATGAGTTGGGGGGGAGAATTGATAATCAGATCTTGGGAGTAAAGGGCTAATACTTGACAAACAGTCTCTTCAACATATTACTTTCCAACTTCAAAGAAATTTCCATTTTCTTTTCTGAAAAAATTTTTTTCTTCAATCATTCAGGTTTCTAAGCCATTACCTAGCAACGTGGAAGAAAGGTGTAAGGTGGCTCTGTCGCAGATCGTAAAGGTAAGTTTGTTGCAGTCTTAACTGTTCAGAGACTCATTTGCCATTAAAACTTTATCGATAGGAATGGAATGCACGCAAGAATAGGAACCTACGAGTCTTCTTTTTAAGTATTCCAGCGATTTGAAAAATACGGCAAAAGAGAGGGCTATCCACAGTGTATTTGAATCTCATAGAGCCTGCTAGTGGTATTGTTGCTATTATTCACGTGTAGCTGTAACTTCACCTTTTATTTTGTTTTGTTTTGTTTTTTTTGTTTTTTTTAACGGCAAGAACATTCCTACTTGCCAGTCGGCGTTGACTAAGAAAACAATAGTTTTGCGGCTGAAGATGTACAGCCCAAAACCTACTTTTCAATTGCTCTCGCTTCTGAATTATTTACTGGTTACTGAATTAGTTTCATCAGTTGTCAACTTCCAAGGATAATTGGTCAAATTGTTCAAAACTGGTACTCACTTCTTTGTGTTTTGACTTGCAAAGGTACTTAACCGTGGTTTTCTCTCTATCTTTTCCTCGTAATAGGGCCTTTCGTGTGTCAAGAAGCATTTGTCAGAAAGCAGTTCTCAAGGGGATGTCCTCAATAACACCACTGATGACAGCTCCTCTTCCGAAAGCGCCCCCTCTCCATCCCAGTCTCCTAGAAGTGACGCGGTATCGGGCTCTTGTTCCCCCCAAGCAGTTGTTCCTACCAATTCAAAACACCTCCATCTGTATAAGAGGGAGAAAACTCCTCTTGTCCTTAGAAGGCCGGTGCGCTGGCAAGCGAGGACAGCTGGGTTGTTGTTTCACAAAGCGTCGTCTGTCTATCACTCACTGGCTTGTACTTTTAATTCAAACGGCAAGTTTGGCCGTGGCCTGAAGAACTGTAAACTTGCGTTTAAGTGTCTAGAGGCTTCTCAGATTTTTGGTGTGGAGTCAGAAAACAAGAAAGGTAAGACCCAAGAAATACTCTTAGATCGCTTTAAGTCGGTAACAATTTCGCAAGGGTGGCCGGACATTGCTTTTTATAAATCTAAAAAAGGGAAAAATAACTTTTTCATTGTCCATGCGATTGGAATCCCTTAGCCTGCGATTAGACCCTCATTGTGGCCCTTCGGTAAGAGCCTTGCTTCGGCCACGGGAAAATATGAGGCCTTGGGAAACACGAACCAGGGAGGGGTCTGCAAGGGTATTAGCACTTATGATGAGGAACCCCGGTAAACCTCCCCTCGGTTCAAATCCGACCGCGGCGAAGAAAAGCGCGTCCTGGGGCGCTCAGTGAGGACCCAGCTGGTAGGCTAAGAAGCCCTCACCATCAACCAGATCTGATACGTTAGAATGAAAAAAATTAAAGCGGGAAAGGAATTTTTGATAGGCTTTACCTTCATGTTTGACAAAGCTCAGGAATACAGTATTTGACTGTTTGGCCCGAGAATTGCAATTATTCACAGAATCACCATAACGAGTGGACTGGCTGGCTAGTTCTGGCTCTTCTAAGTGCCCTGGGACATCTGTGTAAATATATTTATGGATTTGTACAAGTACAAGTACAGGTGCATAACAATAGGACATAGGTCCCCTACTTGGTTAATACACCCACTCCCAGCCCCGTAAAAAGAAAAAAACATCCCGGAAAGTGGTGAAAAATTTGTGGGAATACAACCATAATAGAACGTAAATGTATAAGAGGTAGTGATTGATGTTTTATTTTTCTGCCGGACTTTCGATACTAATCAAAAGCAGAGTCCACTTAGCGACCGGTGCTACTGAGATTCTGGGGTCATTGTGTTGCTAAGTACCTCTTTCGATAAAAATCTCTGGCCCGGTCCCGATTTCAACTTTGCGTAGCGCCTTATTTGCACAAGGCAGCTGTTTATGGCTTTTAGTCAGGGTCAAGTTGTTCAAGAAATTTCTTTTACATGTCTAGGTGACCAGATGCTGATTTCGGTACAGTTTGTTTGCGGTGACTCGTATTTGATGCTGGCCAAGTGTCAGGGGAATTTAGCAGTTCACCAGGAAGATTATCGGTTTAAATCTGAGGAAGACGTTTTCATCTCCGATGCAGCCGAGGAGTGCATTTCCGGTCAAGGAGAATATTCTTCTAGTGTCAAGTTTGTGTCAGATGTGGAGAAAAATTTACTGAAGAGGCAAGTTTGCTGATCAATCAATCGATGTCTCAACCCCTCAAAGTGACTATCATGTAATACCCCCCCCCCCTACAATATCAACCCTGGTTAAAAGATTAAGGTCTTAAGATTGAAGAAAATGATCACCAACTGTAGAAGTTCTTGATTGTTTGTGAGGTTGGTGGGTCGTCACCCTTAGAGATATGTTGCATTGTACTCATGTTGTCTTTTGATCTTCCCTAGTGTTAGCTTATATGACGCCGCCCTTCAACTCGCAACGACAGACACCAAAGCGGAGCTGGTGGTAAACTTAACAAGACGACTTGGGAACGCTAAGAACGAGTTGGGCGTGTTTTATATGAACAAAGCCGCTGCCCTGTTGCACAGCAGCTCAGAACCCTCCGATAAGGAGCGAGAACTGTGGCAAAAAAGTTTCTCTAATTTCGAAAGCGGTATTCGCACTTTTGATGCGACAGATGACAGGTTCGTTTGGAGTGTTTTTTGTTTATAAAGCTCACATAAAGGCAGGTCTTTACTAGTGGTGGAGTCGGAGTTGTAAGAGTGCCTGCAGTGTAGTGATAATCAATGGTGGGAGTCATAAGCAGAGTTGTGATCTTGACGGGAGCGGGGTCGAAATGATCAGAACTGTTTCATCATCTTATAATTTCTCTCAGGACTGTGACGCTAAGGAGCAGGTGAAAAATAGTGTGTCGCAGGGAAGGGGTACCTTACTCTACCTTGGATATGCTGGAGTCCCGAGAGTGAACCTGCTGAGGAGGTGTAATTTTGGAGGGTTTTCTTTTTTTCGGACGAGTTGTGACAAGCAAGAGGCGAGCGCCTTCCTCTCCTCGCGCGTAAATCGCCTGTCACTTGCTTCGACTCTTCTGAAAACACTAAAAATTAACAAACAAAGACAACAACAACGAAAGAAATCGTCTGTTTTGTAGGGTGCCTGAGGGTTGTATAGTCAAGTTCTCATAAAATCTTATACTTTGTTCAGGACTGAGAAGCGAAAACCATACTTGATATGTTTCTAAGGAAGTACTTTCAAAGACGCATTCGACCTTTGTTTTTAAATCAGTGGCTCAATTGGCATTGGTTTGCAATAATCTCTGTTGTGTTAGTCTTCAGTATCTTGACATCGCGAGTACAGGTGGTGAAATAGGTCGTGATACCCATGGTCGTGATATGACGACCCATGGTCGTGATATTAACAGGTCGTGATACCCATGTGTATCTTCTGTGTCAATTTAACAGCTTTTCCTATTATTTTAACCTTCAGTGCAAACAAGGCGTTATTGCTGTCCAACTTAGGCCGTTTAATGCGGCTATGCGCTCAGGCCGTCGGAGGTGTGGAAACCAAGCTGACAGGAAGAAGGGGAGAATTCACTCAGGAGGAGAGAGGATATTTTAACAAGGTTCGACAACGTTTTTCACGTTGTTCCGCACAGCTCACGAGCTGCCGTCCACGGAGAGTGACTAGGCGTCGTAAACGTATTTGGTTATAACTATCGTCAGTATCTGAGCCACTGTGCACCCACTCCTCCCATAACCCAACAACAGTCAACTGATAACAACTTAGGGTTAATGTTGGGTCAGGGAAGGGGTGGGTGCGCAGTTGCTCACTTACTGAACTTAATCCTTAATTAATTTATTTGTTTGTTTCAAAAACATTGATATTACCAAACAAAAAAAGAAAAAAACACCATTAACTGGTAGCTAACAAATTTGTAACGGTGCATTATACCGTATTTCATCGAATAAGCGCTTGGATGCTTATTTAAAATTTCGGCTAAAAGGAAAGGCGCTTATTGGAAGGAGGGAGGAAACTGTTAACCCGTACTTAACCCAGTGTAGTTAAGCTTAAAAAGTTATCAATTAACGGGCCATTGGAAACCGGTTTTCGTTGTATCCCTACTATTAATGAGATTAAGGTAGGAGAAGGGGGGAATGCTTGTTTGATATTATGGCCAAGGGGTGGGCGCTTAGTTTAGGGAGGTCGCTTATTAGAGCATGGGCGCTTATTAGAGCGTGGCGGTTATTCGAAGATGTACAGTACTGTGGTTTAACAATACAATACACTGACATTATTTGCACTGCCAGTACTGCTTAAAGTACCGCTGTTTCGTAAAACCAACACCAAAGAGATCACAACTACCAATCAGAACAAAGGTTGACATCATCGATGACCAATGAAAACTCAAAGTAAAAACTCAAAGGTAACCTGCTTGAAGCCCGGGAAGACGCGACTGACCAAGTTGGGATTGGTTTTGTATTTGCAATTGATTGGTTGAGAGAGTGGCACGAGTTTTCTGGACCAATCACAGGCGGAGCGAAGTAAAACAAAACCAAAGAAACCCAGGATCACTTTCGATACTCAGTTGAAAATTGCTCTAAGTTATTGAAATCCCTGACTGTCAGTATTTTGCGATTGCTTTGGTTTTTGCTCGCCCGCCACGGATGTGATCTAAAGACATATCTGTGAACGTCGCATCACGACCACACTTTATAAACTTTATGCAACCTTACAGCCTATTATATTTTATATTTCCTCTTCTTATTTGCACTTCGATTATTTTGAATCAAATCGACTGCTCCAAATAAAATTGCCCCTCCCCTCCTTTTTCTTTCCAGGCCTTTGAGTTCTATAACAAGGCACTTCGGTGTTTGGCCGAGAGGAAGAAAAGTCCAGAGGTGTGGGACACGGTCACATGGGAACTATCTGGCTCTTACTTTTCGATGGGGACCCTCCTACAAGATTTTGCTCCTCTTTCCACATATGCTCAGGAGCAGGTAACATAATTTTGTGACGCAATCAGTCAAGCGTCAGTTGACCGTGAATAGTTCGAAGTCCAGTCCAGTTCAGTTCCATTCATTTAAGTCTAGCGCTCCCATTCAAAGTCTGTGTGTTGTTCTTTATCATGCAAATACTGCCTCCTTTCTTGTTTTATTTTCATTTTATTTTTGATTTAGCGCTTGGTGGTATGGAATAGGGGAAATTGTTCTGTTTCTATCATGGAGTAGTTTAGGGACTGCTCATTATTTATCCCCTGGGGGATTCGGTGGATGTTGATTGTGTCAGGATAGAATTTACCTGATCCACCATAAGGCTCCTAATATTCTTATGACCCCCCCTTCCCTAATTGACAGTTAATTGGCATTCAATTTTCTTTAGAATCCCCCTTTGAACTCTGCTGATCCTCCCTATGTTCCCCCTGAACCACGTGATACCCTCTCTAGAAAAATTCCCCCCCCCCCCCTGAGAAAGACATGACTACTAGAGGCGCAGTGGCCTCATGATAAGTGCGCTCGACACCGGATTGAGTGGTCCGGGTTCAAGCCCTGGCCGGGGACACTGTGTTGTGTTGTGTATTGTGGAGTAGAAATACTGCTAGTCGCTTCATTCTACGGAAACCGGATTTAAGCGCCGGCTCGATGGGCCACTTAGCTCGTAAACAGGCTTTACCTTTCCCCCCCCCCCCCCGGCGAAAAGTAATGACTGGTTTATTCGAAGCTCTTCCTCATGATCATCCCTCGCTGTTTCCTGAAGGAGATCTAACTTGATTCCCTATCATCTGCCTTCTTTGCCAGCCTAAGAACTTTTGTTTGTTTTGCCCTTTAGGTTGAACAGGAGGTGACTGAGCTGATGATGAAAGCACTCCGTCTTTGTGAGCCCAGTGTCACGGGGAGTACGCCACACATTAAACCCCGATCTGTTCATCAGCTCTACCATCGGATAGCTTCAATACACCATCGGCTGGCGTCTCTTTACCATAATTCTTATAGGAACCAGGTCAGATTCAGTAAAAAGTTGGGTTGATTTTTGTGAGGGGAAAAGGTTCTTAGCATGAAATGGAGAAGAATGACCCCGTCTCGTGGTGCGTCATGAGTGTTTTGGGTCGTTAGCTTGTTAGTGTTTTGACTTACGGTGATTGACTTGTTGAATGACAAATCGCTGAGTGGGCGGCTGATTGAATGATTGATTGCTAGCTCGTTTTTTTGCCCATTAACCGCACCAACAAACGGATAGACAGTTTGACTGACTGACTAACTGACTGAATGACAAAAATACGATTAACAAACTCATAGCTAAACGAGAATTGCCGGCCACTGCAAAAAATCTCATCATTAGAAATACAATTAACGAACATACAGTTAAACAAGAATTGCCAGCCACTGCAAAAAATCTCATCATTAGAAATGCAATTAACGAACATACAGTTAAACAAGAATTGCCGGCCACTGCAAAAAGTCTTATCATTACCACTCCTTAAACTTCTTGTATTTACTTTTTCCCTAAAATTTACAAACGTAACACCCCATGTCGACCCCTTGTCTCGGCTCTCAGTTGTCCTACCGAATTATTTCCAGCTATTTAGACAAAACTATGGCCCCCATCGTCAAAACTTTGCCATCATCTATCAAAGACAGCCAACACGCACTTCAAATTTTTCGCGTCTTTAATTTCCTTGGCTAAGACAAACTTCTTTTCACTATGGGTATTACATCTCTTTATACTGTTATTACCAATGGCGAAGGTCCTCTGACCCTCAAACATTTTTTTGATCAACGCACTAGATCTGAAACACTACTTTGCCTAGCCGAATTAGTGCTTACACTCAATTGTTTTCATTCGGGGACAACTATTTCAAATAAACTCATGGCGTAGCCATGGGTACCAAAATGGGACCCAGCTATGCCAATCTTTCTGTAGGTTTTGTCGAACACCAATTTTTCAGCCAATACAGCGGCCCCAAACCTGAACTCTACGGTCGCTGCATTGACGACTGTATCGGCGGTATCTCCTCTACCAGAGAGGAGCTAACTCAATTTATAACCGCAGTCAATTCCTGTCACCTGGCTCTAAAATATACCTTATTATTTAAGACATCAAAGTTTCAATTGAAGGCAACGATTTATGCACAGTGTGTATTACAAACCTACAGACTCACATAGTTACTTGTTGTATTCATCTTCGCATCCATCTCAAATCAAGAATTCCATTCCCTTTTCTCAGTTCTAAGACTTCGTTGTTTATGTAGTGATGACACTGAATTTTCTATAAATCAGAGTCAATGTGCCAGTTTTTCGAAAAACGTGGTTACCCTGTTTCTGTCGTTCAAGCGGGTCACCACCGCGCCCAACTTATTGATCGGCAGTCAGCGCTGCAATCGCCACAGAAGGAAAAGTCTGACCGCGTTCTATTCACTCTCATGTTTCACTCTCACAACCACGCAGTTAAGTCCATTATTCTCACAAACTTTAAACTACTTCAAAATGATCCAGAGACTGTGGCACTGTCTTTTCGCAACCTCCATTTATTTCATTCAAACGAGACAAAAACATAGGCAACTTTTTGGTTAGAAGTTCATTTCAAGCTAATGACCAACCCGGAACTTTGAAATGCTCTCGCGCACGAGGCAAAAGTTGTCCTTCCATTCACAACGCTGGGAAAATATTGGTACCCAAACGATCCATTAAGATTACTGATCACTTCACGTGTACCTCCGCCAAAGTCATCTGTTGCATAAATTGTACTTATTGCAAAAGATATACATCAGCGAAATAGGAAGACGACAAGGTGACCGATTCCGAGGACACCTTCGCGACGTAGAAAGGAATGACAAGGACGCATCAAAACCAGACACTTTAATCTACCTAGTCATTCCAAGCAGCATATAGGAGTCTGCGATCTTTCCTTACATTTAGGGAGCTCGGAAAGCCTCAAAACTCTTTAACAAAAGTTAATCTTTCAAATCGGCACTCTTAATCAACGAACGCTTTTCATTCTACCAGTTTATTCTCGTCTTTCTCGTCACCATGTTCCCACTAATAGCGTAGCTTCACTTTCTGCATATAAACACGCAGACAACCCACAATTCCTCCTTTCGCGCTGACGAAGGGCTAACATTCGAAACGTCAGCTTTTAAACCCTTTACGGTGGCCAATATACAATTTTAAACTTAGCTGATAAAACCAAATTACCTTGTTACCCCACCAGCACAGCACCACAGTTTCTATAGAAACTTACCTCCTTTATTAATTTGACTGAATGACCGGCTGGCTGGTTGACAGACTGACTGAATGGCTGGCTGGCTGGTTGACTGGTTGACTGGTTGACTGACTGGCTGACTGGTTGACTGGCTTATTAATTGACTGTTTGACTGACTGACTTACTGACTGACTAACAGTTTGACAGCTGACGTTTCGAGCGTAAGCCTTTCGTCAGAAACGTCAGCTTTTAAACCCTTTACGGTGGCCAATTTACATTATCAACTCGGTTGATAAAACTTAATTGCCTTGTTACCCCCACCGACGCAACGCCACAGTTTATTTAGAGACTTTCCCCCTCTGTAACTGTTTGACAGACCGGCTGACTGTTTGACTGACTGAGTTACTGACTGACTCACAGACTGACTGACTGATTGAATGACTGTCTGACCGTCTAGATAGACTTATGGAGTGGAGAGTTATGCGAACTTTTCAAGAATTTTAGTATAATTTAGTAGAATTTTAACATTCATTAGAGTTTCTCTTTTCAAGGCTGTTGACCACTCAAAGAAGAAAGCGCGCTCTCTAGCGGAGTTACACTACAGCAAGGCTGTGGCGTATTTCGATGCCTCGCGGTACCCCTCTGAGTGGATTCGAATTCATTTGGAGCAAGTCGCCATGTGTGAATATCACGTGACCACCTATGGTGGGTCCGCGGCAGCCATTCGTAGTCTACAGTCTGCTTTGGAGCATCTGTGCCAAACTCTGAAAGCTTTAGAATATTTGGGAACGTTGAATTTTTCCGATGGGAGTGAATGCAAGCCTTCAAAAGTCGATGAAGGTTCTGAGTTTCCGGCAGTCAACTGGGATGAGATCACAACGATAGTTCCGATTTTGGAATCGCGTCTTACAAGTGTTTTGAAAGAACTTGTGAAAGCTAACAGCACGCTTAAGAACAAAGGAAAGTCGAGCAGGGACTGGGGAGGACTGGAGATGGCCAAGCAGATGTACTCTCTTGCATTGCGGAGTAGTAGTACCAGTGGGGTCGAGGATATTGTTAAAAAATGCCAGAGAATAGCTGAAACTCTCAAAAACCTCCAAAAAATTAAGAAGCAAACGCAGTAATTCCTATGAATCCAGTAAGACGCTAATGTACGATCCCCTTTACAATCAAACTCAAACTCCTTTCTAGCCCTTCCCCTTCCCCCTCCTTCCCCAACCCTCCCTTTCTAAGAAGTGATGTTACATTTGATTGAATAGAAAGGTAATGTAGGAGTCGTTTGGTTTAGAAAGATGGTTTTATGCTTCTGGTTCAAAATGAATTGTAGATTGCTCTAAATTATTACCTGACGTAGTAAGTTATCTGTAAAGCGCGCTGAGGTTATGTAGCTGTGCTCTAGAAGAATTTTGTTATGATTATTGTCGTTATCATCGTCATAATCATTATTCTTATTACTATTATTATTATCATTATATTGTTATTAAAGAAATTTCCATTTTGTAAAGAAAATTTTCCAAGTATTCTTGAGAGCAAACTCGAACTGATAGCTCGTACTCCATGCAGGTAAAATATCTTTATAATAATATAATAATAATAATAGCTTTTATTTATCTAGCGCTCAGATCCTGAGCTCATGGCGCTTTACAACACTGTTCGGGGGACTTAACAGGCTGCTAAGCAGTTTACAATCAATTAAAGGCGAATCCAACAGATGCCCCCTCCCTTTATAGGGGAATCCTTGTTTACAATATTTGCCTCATTAGCATAAGCAATTCAGTTTCTGATGAAGCTAAAAATAAATCAGTTCTGAATATCGAAAGGTCAAAGTACGATTAACTCGGCCAATGAATACGAGCCTGATGCATTGAATACTTTTTGTGCAACACGGGTTTAAAAACTCAAAATTTTTACATAGAATGTATGAGCTCATTAGCGCTTTTGCCACCCAGAAATTTTGCAGTTTTTGATGGACTATTTGTCCTTGAATATTACACCCAAAGAGCTAAAAATTTCACCATGTACTAAGGTTTTCTAGCTCTTTAGGTGCCTGAAGTCAATTTGTATCTAACATGCTTCCTTCTTTACGCAAAGCCGTATGCAAATGAGCAAAAATGTAAACAATGACGTCAGCATGAATCAGCGACCTAACCGGTGCACTACTACATAAATGTCTAGTAAATAAGTGTGCGCTTAACTTGCCGTTCACAACATGAAACAATCCCGACGTTTTCATCTGTTGCTGACAATGATTTAGCAGAGAATGTTACAGAGGAAACAAAAATGAGATAAAAGAATTTAGTTTTTGTCATCGATTTTCTTGTGACTGTTGGCCCGTGTTACTGACTCGGAAAAATCTAAATTCCTCTTTTTTAACGAAATTAAATGAAAAAGGAAAGGCTATGAAAAATAGGCGGTTCGCGTAAACAGGATAGGGGAGTGGATGGATTATTTGAGGTATCAAAGTAAAGATAATGCGTTATTTCTTAACAAATATGTTTTGGAATCCGCTTATTTCGTCTTTTTTTTTTCTGCTAAAAGTCACCACTTTCTCACGGCTAAGCCGAGAGAAAGTTTTAACACGCTTAAAATTCATTTTGCCGAATAAAGATCCAAGATGATCGGTTCACCATCCAGCTTGGAAACGACACGGTGAAGAGTGCCCACCATCTTAATCTGGTTCGGAGGTATTTGTATTCACAGGAAACTACACGTACGATATCTTGTCCTAGGAGGTGTGGGAGGGGAACCACTACTCCCAAGCCACTAGAAAATTTGGAGAGTGTGACCTCTGAGAAAGAGATAGCACTCGTCTGATATCTCGAGGATGATTCCCTTGTGGAGAAGTTAGCTCTCTTACCTATGACCAGCGATAAGGTATCTTCGTAGAAATAAAAGTATTACAGTGAAAATTCACGTCAGAAGGTGGAAAAATTAAAAAAACAACAAAAATGACCTCCAACATTGGCCGCCGACTTACCCAAAACCTTCTCCCACTCTAATATCTCCGTTAATTAAAAAGTTAACCTGACTGCAGTCAAGGTTAGATAACGGATGAAGGGAAATTGGAAGAACAGTCGCACAGAGAAGCCAAAAATTGCAGTTTTTCACCCCATCTGTACTTGATAGTTACAACGTTAGATTGTTCCTACACTTTTGAATTCTGTCCTGATATCCTTTGCTGTTGCATGAAAATAGTTTAATTTATTTTCTGTGTTCTAAACTAACAAATTAGCTCAGTGTTCTTTCGTTGAATGAGGTTGAAATAACGTTTCCCGGATGACAGATTTTTGGTCGTGCAACAACCGAGAAATACTGGGAACTATACTGCTGACAGTGCAAAATTTTTTCGCGCCAATGTTCGCGAACATCGACCTAAAGCAGAACAATCAACATGCAACAAATCGGCTTTTTTGTATCACCAGTCGGTGCTTACGAAATCAAGGCAGATGATGATGGTATTACAAGTATTAATCTGAAAGGAGAGGCGATAGAGGCTACTGAAGAAAACAAGAAACTGGACCCAAATAGTCGCTCCACTCGACACATCGAGGAATGTATCACTTGGATGGATGCATATTTCTCAAATTCTCTGATTCAGAAAGTTAAGGTGCCATCTCTGAACGTCCAAGATTATGAAGAAAGCAAGCCATTTTGCTGCAAAGTCTGGAAGATTCTTAAAGATCGGGTGAGGCCAGGAGAGACGGTAACTTATGGAGAACTTGCAAATATGGCGGGCAATCCCAAGGGTGCAAGAGCTGTTGGGATGGCGATGAAGACCAATCCTATCCCCATTATTGTGCCTTGCCACAGAGTTGTCAAAAGTGGAGGTGATCTTGGAAATTATAGCTCATATAATGGTGTTGTCACCAAGAAATGGCTTCTTCAACACGAGAAGGCCATCATTTAAACTTTTGCAACCAAACATGAGTGGCGATTTTCTCCATCCTCTTCTCTATACATTTGTTAGTACTGACGAGGAGAATTCGTTGAACAATCTAAGTTCCTTAGGTCAGCGATCATTTTCTACATTCTCATGATCTTAATGAATGATTCACCAATTTTTTGTAGGAGAAATTGAATGCTGGTATTAGGGGTAAAAAAAGGTCCATAAACTTCAGTTATTCAATTATTTAGGAACTCTCCCATATAGAAGAGTGACTGGAAGATGTAAAGGAATTCACAAACCTGATTCATCTTCACTGTGTTAATCTTAAATCACTACATGAAAGCTCCAAGTAGACGAGTCTTTAGCAATGACCTTGTAAAATGTCTCTGAGGTGGGTTATTAAGATTGTGTTGTGACATAGTTGTAACCTTTCATCAGATAGTTGTGTGATATGCTCCTTAAGCTAAGTTTTGCATTTTTTACCATCTGCAAACTACAGCATGAATTACACTTAAGTATTCACCTGATGTGGCTTGTGCAAGGGCACCTGTTCATTGAAAATAATCATTCTCAGGCAGGCATTCTGTCTTTTATTTCTTACTCTAGTTTGTTTTGTTTTTGTTTGTTTTGTTTTCAAAGAAAAGTAAAAAGAAAAGTCAATAAGTGAGCTACTGCAAGTAGATTAAGCTGCATAATTATATATGAAATGTCAATGGTGTATGATATGAAAGATGTAGCTTCAGCTTGGAGTGACTCCCCCCTCCCACCCCACCCTATCAAAAGTTGTTCATAGGGTGAAGAAAACTTCCTCTAATTCTCCATGTGACTGTTTTCTCATGTTTGCAGTTCAAATTATCTTGTGGTTAATTTGATCATTAAGTACTCCAACCTTCAAGCTACCTAAATATAGATAAGGTGTAAAAAAAGTTATTTTAAGGGTATCAGATTCAACTAAATAAAGGAATGCCTGGGAAATCCTACAATCAGCATAGTTCCTGACAGACTGCTACACCCAAATTGGCTTGTATTAATTCCTTTTTAAAACAAAGGGAGAAATTGATGTAACATCACATGTCACTTAGGGTAAAATTACAAGCTCACCTGACAATGAAATACAGGACCCTATGTATGTCACATCATGGTAAGTATAATTTGCTAGAATTTGAATAGTGTTGCATTTACTTTGAGGGTTAATTATCACAACACCTAGTTTTGATAACCAAAGAACTCTGTAAAATACCACAACCACAAAGCTTTTGATATCTGTATAGAAATGAAGTAAAGACTGCCTAATGCTCTAGGTGCCACAATCAAGGAATGAGTAGCATTCACAAAGCAGTAGGAACAGTTATGCACATCACTGACTCCTCTAAGGGAATGTTCTTGAAACTGCCCTTAGAGGGGAGATAAAATATTTGCATAAGTGTGACTGATGCAAGTGCCTGGACATTTGAAAGGGACACCAAAAGATGTAGTGAAGAATTCTTTAATTTCTCACAGAAAGAATTTGATTACAGGCAGTTATAATTTTAAAAACTTTAAATGTTAGAGTGAAACACCTGCTTCTTGTAGAAGAGTTAAGTGAGACAACCATCTCTTTCAACTACTCTATGGGCACTGTTGCTTGCTTCTTAACAGAGAATAATCCAGGCATGGTCCTCAATCTTTAAGAGTTTCAATCAAGCATTATCAGAGACTCCTTGCAGACTTGCCAGCTCACATTAGTTAAGCTGTCATGTTATCTAGCAGGCTAAGAAATGCTCATGGTGAGGCACTTATCATAAGGGCCAGCTTGAAGGCTAAAAATAACTTGGCAAACAACTTTAATTTACATGATAATTTGAAATTGAGCTAAAACTGAAGAAATTACTCTGAGACTTTGGGTATTAACTCTCCATACTCTAAATCAAGAGTCCACTCCAGGAGCCCCTTGCTGGTGTAGTAAGGTTACTAAACATACTAACATTGATATCAAGCATTGGTGCAGTAAGACTGATGCATGATACCCAGTTAGTCTTCAGCCACACATGGACATCTTCCCTGCTTTCTGCACCAAATGTTCATTTTCCCCTTGAGATTGCTAGTTGTTATTGATGTAAGGCCATCCTGTTAACCCTTAAACTCCCAGAAGTTAACAACATCAAACTCCTTACAATTTCACTAAGTTACCTTGTAAACCAGGTTATGAGAAAAGACAAGCTCATCAGCTAGGTGTTATTTTGGAATGAGAACAAATTCTCCTGTCTAAAAAGTATGGCAGTAAGTTTGGAGAGTTAATCATTGGATCCCAAAGTTTAAAGGATTAAAACATTTTGTATCCCATTGTCTGACCCTCCCATATTTTGAAGAAACTAACAAGATGCTTTATACAGATACAGTAACTAATCAATGCAATTCTTTTTCTTGCTAAATTCACATTTTCCCTTGTATTTTAACACAAGATGGAGACTTGAATTTTAATTTCTTTTCTCAATTTCCTAGCTTTTATTTAATATCAGTATTAACCCATGAACTCCCATTAGTAACTAGACAATTTCTCCCCACCATATCAATACAATGTGAAGCAGACAAGTGACGAGAATAAAAATATCAATTAGGAAATTATTACAGGGCCCAACACTAACTTTTCAACTTACTAGCCAAGTGGCTGGTGACAACTTTGATGTTACAATAATTTCAGTTTGTATACTAGCCAAACCAGCTAATGGAAATTGAAAACCACTCGCCAAAACTGAATTTCTACTAGTCTGTGGCTAGTTGGCTTCCATCAGTGTCGAGCTCTGTATTAGTTGATCCAATATCAAATTCTCCAAACTCACATCATTAGAATTGTATAGCAGACAATTAAGAGAATTACCAATGATATAAAAACAAGATCTTGGGAGTGAAAGGGTTATTAAGCCTATAAAAATTTTTAAAGTCAAGTGAATGTGCACACCCAGGCTTTTCTCAAACTCTAGCTATCTTCGTTAACTGATTTGCCCAACAACCGACCCACTTTCAAGAAAGGGATAACGATGGGAAACAGAACATTTGATAGGGATGGCTTTCATTTAAATACAAGTGTTTATTGTTTGTAAAAGCTGGGTATGTTCTTCACAGGAAGGTAATGCTTGAGAACATGTATAACCTCCATGTGATAAAATTGTGATTAACTTCTCAGTTGTTCCAGGCAATTGGCACATACAACTTGTCCTCACTCAATTTTCTCTAGGCTGCTTTTCATTCAACCAAGTGCCTGAAATGGGCTCCAGGTTGAGAGTTCTTCTGTATGGGGTGTTCAACACTTCGTAGGACTTTAAAAAACGTTTGTAGCAGCAAAACAATGCCTGCCTTGAGTTACAACCTTTTAGTTTTCAACAGGCGTAGGTTGTGGCAAAATAACTTGCACCACATAGCCCTTGGGAATTTTTGCCTCTCCTATTGTGGTCTTGTCAATCAACATTCGCCCAGCATAAAACCATCTCTGCTTTGATGGCTCGAACCCTTCCATTTTTTGAAGCTTTTTCTTAATTTTAAGGATAGTGTCTGAAGTATATACAGTCATTTTAAGGTCCTTGCCAGTTGACAAGCGAAGTTTAATATACAGTTCTTCCCCTGTAGGCACTGAGTCATCATCTTCAACTTCTGCACTGGCCTCACCACTAACATCTTCATCTCTGATTAAATTTGTTGGCTTGCTCACACAGTACACTGGAAGGACATATCTGTTACCAAGTTCATCATATGCATCTTGCAATGATCCTTAAAGAGAAAAAATTTATGGTTAATGGATGGAGAACCAGGAAATCTTACCCACTTTTGTGTCAGACCACCACCCTCTTTCCTTTACATTTCTATATATGATAATAATACAAGGCTCTCAAAGAACTCTGGAATAACCTGAGTTGTCAACAGTCTTCCAAAGTCCAAGAGAGATAAAAGGGTCAAACAATGAACACCACTTACTGAACAAATTTGAGGTCTATACTGTAAGATATCAACCCAAGTTTTTTCACTCAATAAATCTGAGTGGAAAATACAAGGTTTTCAAACTTACAGTACAAGCTGAGAAAACAAGGATAGAAAGATATTAATCTTATTTCTGAGTTCAAATAGAGGGGAAAGAACTCAAGTCAAACAAACTTTTTGATTCAGCAAGATTACTCAAATTTAACAAGTACTGGTTATTATCTTGATCAAACACCAAATTCTTGTAACCAATTTACAAGGAAACGAGTGGCAGTTGGAGGGGAGAATTAACAATCGGATATTGGGAGTAGAAAAGGGTTAATTGTAACCTTGGGAAAATTATCATTTAACATCTTGATTGTTGAGAGTGTTTAGAATCACAATTCATGACCAACACAACTACTCAGCTATTACATTCAAGTGAGCATCTGAAGATACACGAAATGTCTTTTAATTGCTCAAGAAAGGAAATATTCAATTTTCTTTGGCATGGTTGGAAAGTGTATTTTTAATGTACCTCCCTCGGGCAAGTGCAGCTTTCGAACAAACCGATTGATCAGGTGAGAGTAATTTCCGCTTCACCCACACTAACTTATCTCGATATGTTCAGTTAAAATATGACCAACATAAACTCCCGCATAAATTAAACTACATCTTAGTGTTTAAGTCGACTTATGTCTCTAAGTGTATTGTTAGGCTACAGTTTGTTTGAGTTTCTATTACCATTTAAGTAAACAATACAGCAATGGGACAAGAAACTAAATATAGTCATTTGGAAGCGCGATCTTTCATCGAAACATTTTAAAAATTAGCAATCGGACCATCTGTGGCACAGACAGTCATTCGTAATCCGCAGATGCACTTTAACGAACAGAAGGCGAACCTACTGTCTAAAATCATGACAACAGCAAAAACATATATTGCACACTAACTTTAAATCCGCTTTTTGACATGTCGTAGATCGCTATAGGTAACTAAATCCTCCCATTAGAGGCGTTCAAAGACCCATAGGAACATGGGAAAAATTTAAAGCAAATACTGCGACAAAATTAATTGCTATGGTATTTCTTGCGTGACTTGCGCGATCGTTCGGGATCCAGTTCTGGTTCTCTCGCCGTACTCGAAATCGAGATAACTTTCTTAGCGCTCACCTGTAGGAAGAGTAATGTTTGCTCCATCTACAATTGCCTGCGCCCAAGTATGGTCGTCCGTTTCAGCAGCTGCTCTTAATGCATCCCAAATCTCCTTCCGCCCTTCAAAAGCAGGCGCAGTCTCCCAAAACTCCTCTCTTTTACTGCGGAGTTGGCCCTCTGTTAGAGGCATTTCTGAAGTCCATGGCGGCCTCTCTTTCTTTAGTGGTTGATTGCGGCCTAAAGTAACTGCAAAATAAAAGAGTATCGAACAATTAAAAGCGCCTTAGTTTTGTTAACCCCAAATAATCGACAATAGAACATGTCAAGATATAAAGGGAAGACAGAAACTTGTACATTTAACGACCGTACCTCCTGGCGTACTACCAAATTGATCGCTACCAGAGCTGACTCTTATGCTTGGTTCTCGAGATGTTCCCATACAACCACCCATAGTTATGACTGATTAAGAGGGTGACGCAAAAAGAAATTACACTGCATCGCCAAAGCGGCGGTAACAGAGGTTGTTTTCCACCATTACGATGCAGATCTCTTCTTCTCTGCTAGCGTTCAAAAAGTTCCTGCGAAATCAATTTATATTCGCTCGATACGTGACGTCAAAGGTAAACAGAGGCAGACATGCGCGCCTGTATTACTATTTTCTCGTTTCCCATTTGTTCAATTTGCTGCATTTCAGTATTTCCGAACAAAATTGCAGAGTGACCCTGGTTCACCTTGGCACTTTTGTAAATGGAACACTGAATTTTACCTGGAATCTTGCATCTTTCGTTATTTTAAAGTTTTCCCTTATTAATTTCAAACCGGTAATCATTTTGCTGTTCCTCAAGCAAATTAGCAGTACTGGGTGTTTGTCACAAATATCAGTTTTCAATCCCGGTGATGTCTTTACTCAAGAAAAATTAACATTATCCACTGACCAAATAAATGCAAAGCATAACACAATTTGCATCCTCACTGAATTTCAATTGTGGATACCAAACAAAAAAACTTAGAAAATGGGAAAAGTGCTTTCATCATTTATAAATGGGATAAAAGTGGCCAAAAATGCTTCCTTCAACGGCAGGTACAAAAAGCAGGTTACAGGTCACAGGTCACAATCAACAGGTCACAATTAAAGAGTTATACATCGGATAGAGTAAAGGCATTGCATTATAGTGTTCCATTTTCGGTCGTCAGAAATGAACATATAATTTACATGAACATATAATATACAATTGTGACCTGTTAATTGTGACCTGTGACCTGCTTTTTGTACCTGCCGCTTCCTTCAATATTTTTCTCCATGAGCAACAGGCAATAGTGTAATCTTCAGGTAGCTGTACCAAAAAGCAAAACCCAAACACAACAGCCTACTGGTAGGTGAATCAGACAGTAGTAAATTTGCATTATTGACCAAGCATGAGGTCTAGATGGTTGGATATTGGCAGAGCTCTTTCTTTTGTTTTTAGGGACCAAGATGAAGTTGAGGTCCATAAAAACATGAAAGAAGAATGAAACTGATATCCAACCATCTTGCCCAAACAAGCTTGGTCAACAAAAGATTTATTACATGGCAAAAGGATAATAATAATAATAATAATAATAATAATAATAATAATAATAATAATATTAATAATAATAATAATAACACCTTTATTTAGACACGATAATGTTTAAAGCTAAACAGCTTGTGGGGTCATGTATAAATCTAAATAAACTCTAAATTAAATAAATTCAAATGATGGTTTTTGAGGAGAGGGGAAAACCAGAGTACCCGGAGAAAAACCTCTCGGAGCAGAGAAGAGAACCAACAAACTCAATCCACTTATGACGCCAGGTTCGGGAATCGAACCCGCGACACATTGGTGGAAGGCGAGCACTCTCACTACTCTGCCAACCCTCCTCCCCTTTAATAAGAATAAGATTTCCCTTTAATAAGAATCAAGAATGACTTGTTTATTTCAAGAACCAGGAAAGAAAGCCAACTGTGTATGTAGCACAATAAACCCATGAGGGTCGTTCACGTTTTCTTTCTTTGACTCTCTTTTGCTGCTTTCTGCAACTTCATTGCCAACATTGTCCAAAAGTTACAAACTTAGTAAGTCTGCTCCACGCACTCCTTTTCTTGCACAGGATCAAAGCAATAGGAAGACAGGATTCACTTTATAGTGCCCACAGGCACTGATAGCTATGTAATAAGAGGTGTTATGCACTGAAACCCTGCTTACTAAATATAACCCAGGGGTTTCATTAAGGGCTGGACACTGAACAAATTGCTTGGTTGTGAGAATGATTTTGCCCTCCTTGTTTGACCATCTAGAGGAAAGTTTATCTTAGAAAGAAGTTCAGTTAAAAAAGTTTTGCCTGCCTATGCAAACCAGTTGCCCTCTTGCTGAAAACATTAATGAAACCCCTAATAGCCCTCATAGCCACCGTATATTTTTGACAACTCTATAGTTGACAAATGTAACATGTACTGATTTTATTGAAGAATGACTAATTTTCCCGCTTCAGAAACAAGTAGTTAATTGCCAGATTCTATTCTACTGCAATATTCCTTTTTTTCTAAATATATACCTTGCTTGTTCCCTGAATTTGCCACTGCTCCTAGTTTCTCTTATGATTAATACATTTCCAAGAAAAACTGTAAACAAGGTTTACAGGTAAGTAAAATGTTTGAGTAAAAATTAATTTAACAACAACTGAAAATAGTGGAGGGTAAACTTCAGAGAACAGAACCACCTTCTTAAATTTGATACTTACTTAAATAAACAGTTTAAATAATTATCAAAATCAATCAGGTAAAGACAAGGAAACACAGGATTTCCATTTTGTAACCAAAAATATGATGCTGACCAAGAAATTCAACAAAAAATATAATTATTATAATCTCTAGCACTTTCCAGCATAATTTTTTAAAATAACTTTCTTCATATCTTTTAGCAAATAATCATCCTCAATGTACAACTTGGAAAATGAAACCTGAGTTGCATTTTAGCCTTCTGAGGCACTAAGCTCTGTGCAAGTTGTAATTCAAACTTCTCTATCCTCAGTACCCTAGGGTGTACACCAGGATAAACTTGTGATAGGAAGTTGGTTGTCACAACTTTGAACTTTAAACCTCACACTGACTAACCAACATAATGGGCCTATTGTTAGTAGTGCTGCAAAATGCACGTTTCTCTACCCACTGGAAGATTTGAGACGAATCAGGAAGAGGTTGATGAGGGGTCTGGCACTAATTATCAGTGCGACCCCCTGCAGACCTCTCCCGGAAGAACTTGCTCAAGGCCCATACTTTCCCGCAGGTGGTGAAACGCTCATGCTGAAGCATTAATAACAAGGGCTTGACTGACTTTTACTATCATGTAAGAGTGGATGTGCCAGGACCAAATACAGAATTGTGAGATGAATCATTTAAAGAGTCAGCAGCAAAAGTGAAACGTCTGTTTGGTCCTGATTGCAGAGCAGTCTCATGAAGTCTGTCAGCTGAGTACTTGGACTGAAGTTCCAAAGACCCCACACTAAAAGGACGTGGCTTCTTCTCCAAATGTGATGCAGTCTCTGATTTATTTTTCAGTTCTTCAGTTTCACTTTTTTTGGAGTCCAAGGATGGTTTCACAGGTTTGGTTCTCAAGCCTGTAGAACTTAAGTAAGGTGACACAACAAACGAAATGAGATGTTCAAGTTTTCTGTAGTTTCTGCTAGATAGGTCATCATGAACACCCTAGTAGACAAATAGATTTATTGTTATGAAATGGAAAATATAGTAAGAAACATTGTCTATTTCTTTCTAGGCCACTACCTTCATCAAAATTGCTGGCACAATTCTCCCTTCCACTTGTTAATGTTGGTAACAAGAAAATTGTACCTCATAAAAAAAAAAAATCACCATTAAGATGCTCTTGATTGTTAAACAAATTCTCCTCGCCAGAACCAAATGAGATGTATAAAGAACAGTATAGAGAATATGTATACAAATGTTCTGGTGTTGAAGGGCTAAATAAAAGACAGAATAACCTGCATATGAAATACAAGGTAAGAGGTTTTTTTTTTTTGCAGGAAAGCTTTAATTAAAGAAACTGCTGCTACATGGGTTTTACATTCTATAAAATTGGTATAAACCCAACTTTGCATCACTGCAGATTGTCAGAAGTCACCTTATTTATTTGCACTATGACTTTTTTTTTTTGGTCATCAAGTCAAAGAGTTCTAATCATGAGCAAACTCAGGACACACAGCAAAACTACCATTGGCACTGAAGTATAAAAAAGTGGCAGCCTAAATGCACTAATACTGGTTATTCTTGATATTGGTTCATTTCACATTGCTGAGGAAATCATAACCTCAAATTGTTCATATTTCCAGAAATTTGAGGGTAAGATGGTCTGCCCTCGCCACATAAAATATTTTTACTTTTCAAATGTAACATTACATAGTCTTAACTGAAACTACAGCTGGCTTGTTATAAAATTATCAGGAGCTGAGACAGCTAAGCCTCCTGTGTACATCATAAAGACTGGCAAAAACTTCACAACAAGACTAATTTAACACAAGCAAGAAACAAGAAATGGTGATGCAGTGCTTTCAATAAGACCCGGCATCCGCTGGAGCTCCGGCAAGTATTCTGTGGTGAGTCGCCAGGTATATTTCACTGCGCTCAAGTTGCAGTCACCACACTAAGTCGCAATCAAGTTGCTCTCCAGCGGGTGTTGTACCAAGGTAGCCACCTATTTCAAATCTTATTGAAAGCACTGGTGATGTCAACAATCACATTCCTGAACATCATTGACTTATGAACCATGGTATTGAGTGGGTGTCTGTGTAATGCCTAACCCACAACACTAACTATTTTCAACAACCTACCCTGGTTCTCTAACTTAGAACAGGCTCCCCTCAACAAGAGTCAACAACTACTGGCACTATGCAGACAACTCATTCACTTAATTTACATCACAAACAAACCTAACAGAATTACCTAACATTGCCAACAGATCAAAACTGACCCACCACAACTTAAACTTGAGTCTTATAGCCAATCACTTCATGGATACACTGACCACTCAGTTTATCCAAACTGAATAAAAAAATGTCTGACAACAATTCCCTCCTTGACTCTGATGATAACTTCCCTTAGGTTGTTGAAACATCAGTTTCCTTCTCAGGACTACCCTAACCTGGACGATCAGACTACATGTACACAATCAAATGATACTCCACGGTTCCACCAATTTAACCCTTTAACATTTAAGAGTGAGAAGCACCTGATTTCTTTTTACAGATCACCTCTGAATCTAACATAAAGGTCATTGGAAAAATGATCAGACTACATGTGATACACAATCAAATGATACCCCAGGGTTCCAACAATTCAACCCTTTAACCGCTAAGAATGACCTGTATCTGATTTCTCTTTAAAGTGTCACCCCTGAATCCAACATTAAGGTCATTAGAAAAGTGAAAATGAGGGACAACAAAAGAAAATCTTCACTGATAAGCAACTTCTCCCTGTCAGCATCTTGGGAAATGTATTGAGAACAGTATGGAATATATTCATGCTGATACCTGGGTGTAGAGGGTTAAGATAAATTACAGTTTGCCCATGTAAATTTGGCCATAACAGCCATGATAATGAAGGACAAAGAGGATATAACAATAATTTCAGCTAGTTGTAAGCACAAATAGTGGTTTCAATAACCATAAAGCTGCCACACGTTGTAGTAATGTACCCTTGAATTTCACTACGATTTTGATCGATGGCTATTGGTCTTTCAATCTTTCATTAAAAGAAAAATAGATTGGAAGCAATGGCAGCAAGACATCGTCAGGTTGACAACCGGTCAATTTGTCCGATAGAGGCGACACGATCCCTGAGAGATCCAAATGTTGCCTGGCATAAAAGGGATTGGAAGCTGGAAAATTCAAGGATTTGCGACAGCCTATGACAAGTTTTCATTACATACAAACCGGGTATTTCTACCTTCCCTTCTATTTTCCAAAATATAGGCATCTCACCTGCAAAATCAACAGCATCTGTGCGACTTTTGGCGGAACAGTCAAGTCCATAACAAACGCTTCTTCCAGTTTAGTTTTCAACACTACAACATCACGAAAGTTTAATAAAGCAATAGACCTAGTAGACTGAGCTTCTCGGGACTGTATGTCTAAGAAAATTGCTTGAAGTAACGGCAATATCGTACAGAAGAAGTAAGTCCAACTATCTGCCAGTTTGTCTAACAGAACCTCGCCATTTTTGTCCTTAACATCTTCGCGTAGAATAATCATTCCTTTGACAAGCGATTCTTTAAACCATTCACAAATCGTCGAACCACCTACTTCCTGTTTCACAGATTTAACCTTTTCCGTAAGACTGCTTAATTCAGATTTTGCTAACTTCTTTCGTTGAAATAGAGCAGTTACGGCATTTGACACGGTGTTCCAATCTTCATTCTTCCCGCCTGCAAAAGTGAACTTCTTCTCGGTGATTTTCGGGCTTCTTGGTCGCTGCACTCCAACCATCGTTACTGAACCATCATTTCTTAAGAATTCACCTAAATTTGACACCGGCGACCGTGCCATGAAGGTAAAATAGCGGTAGCCTCATAAAATTTAGAGATGATCAAATGCTCCATAGAACGGCAGGAACGTACAACTTAGGCACTAGTCTTTTTCGAAGAAATCGGTCCGAGGCAGTCCCAAGGCAAAGGCGAGTTCGAACGAGTAGGATTGCGTGACGTGACGTGCAAACAAGGAATTCGGAGAAGAAAGAGAAAGAGGAGGAAACCTGGGAAAAGTATGAATTTTTCAGTTAGTAGAGCGAGTCACGTATGCAGCATTTCTTCATAAATGAAGATGGAGAATCTAAGCCGGGCTTTCAATCAGTTATTTCATCGCCGCAAGAAAAAGTCGTCAAGAAATTTTTATCCATCCCCCCAAAGCTGCGAAACCATTCGCGTATTCGAGACATTCGGGACTTTGAGGGAGGAGATAGGGGAGGCTAGAGAGGCTTTTACCTTCTCCTTCGTTTACGGACTTAAGAAAAAGAGAAAATATATAACATCTTATTGCTAGAAAAATTGCAGAAAAATCTTATTTCTTCGTATAGCAAACACTGAACTTACAATTTACAATTTAATTATTAACCATTCATAGAGGGATAACATCATAGCTAGGAATCCTGGGTGGTTCATATCACCAGATAATCAGTTAACGGTACTTATTGAATAACAATATTATAATACATGGCGAAGGGAAAACCACAGGGCTTATATGAGGGAGGTTTCAATTGCCACGAAGATTAAACTGTATGCGTTCCTTCAACCATTAGCTTTTAGGTGTTACATTTAATGGTGTTATTATAAATCAAAAATTATTTTTCAATTCCAACCTAATGCTAGCTCAGGTTAATCTCCTTTAACTGTCCTTTTCCATGAGTAAACCTTTTGTAGCGACATCATTTCGATCCGGTTTTACGACTACGTTTAGTAAAAAAGGCGAATCCTCAACATTGTGGAGCTAGGTTTGATTGTTTTTTTTTTCAGTTTTGATCCTTTACCGGAACAGAGTGAAATCGTTTCTAGCCTCGTCTCAGTTGTCTTGGTTTTATCCAAGTTAGTACCACAAAGTGAGTAAATAGCTTTATACCTTTATCTAGTGCTGGCGAAGAAAGGCGATTTTTTATGATTTCAAACATTTCAATTAAATTCCTATCAAATAATTGCTTACCCCGTTAGGGAAAATTTGGGCAGCGATCTAAGAGTACTACTACTACTACTATTACTAGTGCCTATACGTCCTCCTGGCGTTTAGGGCAGTTACAAAGGAAAGCCACTCTTATCTGTTCCGGGCCATCTTTTGAATGGTCCTCCAGGAGTGATGTAGGGTCTTCAGTTCTGCCTCCACCGTTCTGCGCCTGGTGTTCTTCGGCCGTCCTCGTTTTCGTTTCCCCTCAGGTGTCCAGTGGAGAGCCGTGCGGATGATGTTGTCCTGCTCCCGCCGCATAACATGTCCGATCCATCTCCATACAATCCATGGGGAAAACACCAAGAGATTGAAAATATTCTCTAGGAAAACACCAAATAGTTCGTCATCGTGATTAAAATTTGTCCCAGTTGAAGGTAGGATAAGAAAGCATTTTCCGATAACTTTGCGCCCAACAGAACTAGTTTCAAGGTTCTATGCTAATCTGTGTATTTGGGGTTGGTTTGGGTACTCGAATAATTATAAACTTCTTTCATCAAATTCGACAGAAACAATTTGCTTCAAACATTTTCCAAGTACACGTACATGAGAAACTACTTCAAAAATGAGAATTTTATGAATGGAAATTAAAATTGGGAAGATTTTCGGATAAAAAGTTGTTGGCGCATGACTTAAGGCGTCTGAGATGGGATCTATGATTGGTCGTAGAATAAATTATAATGGAGCCGTAAGAGCCGTGATTAACTGTAACCTCTAAACATCACTCAGTCTGGAAGCTTGCAGAGGCGATTATGAGGAAACATCTCCTCCTCGTCAATGGTTATCACCACAAGTCGTGATACTGTCCTTGTAAACATGATGTAGTTACTAATCAGCTAATCGTTGAACCAGGAAATGGCGACAACCACTCGCCATTCATGTGAATGAGCGTTGTGTCCAAAATCCAGTACTACCTTATTTTCTTCCCTGTTGCTTACATCACAAACTGGAATCCTCTTTTGGGCCATCAGACGAGACAAGTTTTCTTTGGGAAAGGACGAAGTGAAAAGAACAGCGACGTGATGTAAAAAGCCACTTTTCTTCCACTTTTTAACTTCATCCTCTATGACATTCGCAATGGAATCAAAATCAAGATTCTTGAACGATGAAACAGGTGGTCCACAAACGTGATGGCCAAGGTAGTTTGAAACATCGTATCTTTTTGTAAAAGAAACCCATAGTTCCTTTGCTTCTTGTTCAATATGATCAAATTGAGGTTGGTTTAATCTCTGTACTAATTAAAGAAGGGAATTCTTCCCGAATGCTTGAACAAAGTTGTAAATCTCGAAAGTAGATCGCAGTATCGTTTTCATACAAGAAGAGTGATAAACGCCAAACGTTTTGCAAAGCTCTCGCGCTTGAGTCTGAATTTCTGTTGCGCCAGACAGCCCTCCTGTTTCATCCCGAGAAACGACGCTTTCATTCCTTTGCATATAATCATATGCAACCCAACAGTAACAATCTTGATCTGTGATTCGGGTCAGAAGTTTCTCCAACAGATTCATCGTGTCTGGAATCTCGGCTTCAAAAGTTTGCATTTCATCAACAAAGAAGTGAAATTCTCTTAGATCACTTCCGGAACCATTTTGAGCGTCGCTCGTGGAATAGCCTCCGTTATTGCTCGAAAAATCACAGCCGGGATCACTTTTAACATTGCTTACCTGATCACCATCGAAATCTCTTCTTTGGAGAAGCTTGGATAACTCAAGAGGGGAGCAAATAGTCACTCTACTGGAAATGTTGTCTTCTATGTTGTAGTCGAAAAACTCTTTGTAAAGGTTAGTCAAAGAAGAGGGTACCACGATCATTACCTTTTCTTCTTTCCTTTTAACGCACTCTAAAGCTTTGAACTGAAGCAGAATTGTTTTTCCACAGCCAGATGAACCGTTGAAGAACTGTTTCCGTGGTCCATTCCAAATACGTAACTGCTCGAGGTTCAGAAACAAAAACTTCGTTGATAAGATGTTTCGCTCTAGTCGATCAGCACTTTTCACAACCACTTCCGGCCCGTCCCCATCCTGCATGGTATACTTTTCATGGCTCTTTCGGAGAAATTTCTGCTTGTCAATCTGCTCATAGACATCCGACAGAATTTCGGAGCTTCCTTTGCATTTCAGGCCGACTAAAATGGCTATTAACCTTTGAAGTTGTTGCTTTTCGTTGTTGTCAAATTCTCTTGAATCAAAGTTATTTTGCCACCAGCTGGCGAAACCGCCCTCAGAATGCCGAGTATCGATTTCTCGAAGACTGATATACTCTTGATTTCCTCGACCAGGGTCACTTACGTTTGGCATGGCAATCACTTTCTTGACAGGGATAGAAATTTCCTGACTATGATCAGCATGCAAAAGAGCACGAATTATTTTCTCGCCAGCTTGAAGCTGTTTTCGTGCGTTCCCTTGATGTGACTTTGAAAACTTCTTTGTTGATTTAACTTCGATAAGAATGACACCAATATTACGATGCACAATCACAAAGTCGCTTTCTTCGTCAAATTTTATTTTCCCCAGATCAGTCTGACGATTATGCGGCACCGTTTGGCGAATAATATTTTCGATGAACTCAGCATATTTTACTTTCGGTAGAACGAACATCGGTTGGTTTGTTGCTTTCCCAAACTTTTCCAACACGTAGAACAATTGGAGTTCGGCGCTATCTCCGTCAATATTCACTTTCTCGATGTCAGCGAGAGGAATTGCTCCCGAAGCCTCTCCAGTTGGAGCGATGTATTCGAAAGGAAATGCTGGTGGACACATGACAGTCTCATGATCCATGGTGTTAACATAGTCCGGGTAAATTCTGCTGAAGTGGTCTTCACAAACTTTTAACAAGTCAGAAGAATACTTTCCAGCGGGCTCTTTGACTACCACAGGATGATCCATCGGGCGAAGTTTCTGAATGCCTTACTTACCCCACACGAAGAGTACAACGCTGGAAAGAAATAAAGCGATCACATTTAGAAACTTCCGTTTTCGCAGAATTTTCCGTTTCAATTTCGCTCGGGGACACTCCCTTCTTTTTCTAGCAATCATCAATCATTTATATAGTATTACAAGGTGAACACGGAAACTCCAATGATGTAAGGGACATGATATTTGAATTATATATCATGAAACAAGAAACAACAATGCGATAAGAAATTCGCGAAAGCAAAGTGACCTAATTAACCTTTTACATTCTATCATCAATTTCCACATCATTCTCCATACGCATTTCTCTACGCATTTCCTTCAGTACTACAAGAAAAAGTGGTTAAACCATCTGGACCAAAGTCTCTTAGGCTGACGACCATTCCTTTTATTCTCGTGATCTTAGTGAGTCAGTGGTTCATCATTATTATTATTATGAGGTCTATAAGGAGAAATTAGTTGCTGGTAACTCTTAGGGCGTAAGGGAAACTTCGATGAAATGCTTGATCATTACCCAGCACATTACTATTCGCTGAGCCCAATTTGTTACAAATGAATACGTACTTGACAGAATTTTCTCAACCCTCCTATCAGATGAACCAGAGAGTAAAAAAACGAGGACACATGGAAACAGCTAATATTGTACCTCCATAGAGGGAGGATTCTCTTTGAGACAGTTTGCATAATGAATTTTGTATGAAGTAAGTGCATTCGTCGTCACACGCCGTCACGTGAGTTGTCTTGCGCAGTTTTTGCAGTGAGCTTTCGATTTGGGAGGAAAGATGTCTGAGGAGAAGAAAGTGAGGCAAGTAGTTAACCAAAACTTGATCCACTTTAGCTAGATGTCTTAATTGATGAAGCGAGGATTTTATTTCGAAGGTAGCTCTGCGTATCTTTACTATCTTATCTGTTGCTTGTGCGCGCTGTCTGTTGTCGATCAATCGTTACGGTCCACTTCCTTTTTAAGCAGTCTTTAGAGCAACGTTTGAGATACTTTGAGGATTTAGCGACGAAAAAATTACGTTCTTAGTCAACTGTACATTGCATGAATCAAGCAATCGATAGTATTGAGCTTGTCTTTCCCTGTAGTCAACAAGAACCTGCGCTGGAACAGACTCGAGACGTGAAGCTCTACCGCTTCCGCTTTCGAATTTCCATCTAATTTGTTTTTTATTACGCTTTCCTTTTTGAATATATTCTTAGTTATTGAATATTTGTTGTTAGGCTTTTACAGACAGGCCTTCCCAGGCTAACATTACCAATCCGCGAGCGAGGGAAACTGTTATTGCGTAAATCCGAAAATTGAATTTTATCTTCAGTCTGTAGGACTTCCGCTTTCTCTTCCATGTAAACTTTATATTTGCGTTTGTTTTACTGCAGCCTTTGAAAGATAAAAAGAGCTTCTTTATATAGAGGATTATCCATTATTTAAAGAGAATCTATCCAACTTATTTTGGAATGGAAGATTATAATAAGGGTTGGATGTCATCTGACAAGGATGACGAAAACTTCCTTACCAATTTAATTGCTATTCCCCTCCGCACGATATTAACTGATGTGTTTGTGATTCAAAGTAGGCGCAAATTTTACAATTTCCATTAAGCTTCAAGTTTCATTTGCAAATTTATTTAAGGTTGCTCCAAAGACATGGAATTTATTTAGATCTACCATTTTTAAATACTGGCCTTTTGTTCTTGGAAAAAGCCTTGTCCATTAGGTTTTTGGCAGACATCCCATATATTTTGTTAATTTTTGATAGAACTGTTTCTATTATTTCTACTGAAAGCCGCTGCCTACCAGAACAAAACAAGGTTTCATTTGTGTTTTATTTTATGATTAATTATTAACCACTGAAGTAACAAAAATCATTTGAAAGGTACAGATTATCTTATCATAGCTTGATTATGGATGTAGTTCAAACGACAACACACACAGTAAACTTCCACAATAACAACAGCTTTCTCGAGAGTTCATGGGCTGAGACGAAAATGACGATTGGTTTATGAAGTCACATGACCTATCGTCACAAAAGGACTGTAAATGCCTGATCTGAATAAGGAATATTTCGCATAATATGCTCTCTGAATCAGCTAATTTGCATTGAATTCATGCCAAAATTACATCCCCTTCAGGAAAAAAACAAGCATATCATGCTACAAGATGCAGAGCAACTATGAGGAAACGTCTTGTCCTCGTCTATGGTTATCACTGCCCTTATGAATTAAACATGATGTAATTACCAGCCAGCTCATCTTAGTGAGTGATTCATCATTATTACTATTAGGCCTTTAAGAAGAAATTAAGATGCTGGTAACTCTAAGGGAGTTAGGGAAGCTTCGATGCTTGATCATAACCCAGCGTATAACTTCTCGGTGGATCCAATTTGCTACAGATAAGTACGTTCTTGACCGTCGTATCAGATGTTAGAGAGTCAAGGAAGAGGAGACATGGAAGCAGCTGATATAGATTCTCTATGGCGAGAGGATTCTTTTTGAGACAGTTTGCATCATGAATTTTGCATGAAGTAAGTGCAGTTGTCATCACGCGCACTCGCGTGAGTTGTCTTGCGCAGTTTTTGCAGGGAGCTTTCGGTTTGGAAGGAAAGATGTCCGAGGTGAAGAAAATGAGGCAAGTATTTAACCAAAAATGATCCCTTTTAGCTGGATGTCTTGTTGAGGCGAAGATTTTACTTCGAAGGTTGTTTTGCGTGATTTTTACCACCTCATTTGTTGCTTGTTCCCGCTGTCTGTTGACGATCAGCGTTTCACTTCCTTTTCAAGCAATTTTTAGAGTAACTTTGAGAAAGTTTAAGGACAAAGCGACGAAAAAAGTACGTGTTTCGACTGATTTGCCTTGTTAGTATCAAGCAATCGATAGTATTGAGCTTGTCTTTGCCTGCAGTTAACAAGAGGCCTGAGCTGAACAGACTCGAGACTTGAAGCTCTACCCTTTCGCTTTCGAGTTTCCATTTCATTTGTTTTCATCATGTTTTCCTTTCTGAATATATTCATAGATATTGAATATTTGTTGTTAGGCTTTTATAGACAGGCCTTTCCAGGCTGACATTACCTTAGTGTCCGCGAGAAAGGGAAATTGTTATTGCGTAAATACGAAGATTGAAGATGAAGATCATCTGGATTTTTTAATTCATTCTTTCATAGGGCTTCCACTTTCTCTTCCATATGTACCTTATATTTCCGATTGTTTTACTACAGTCTTTGAAAGATCGAAAGAGCGTCTTTATCTATTTATATAGGAATATTCGTTATTTAAAGCGCATTTATCCATTACATCTTAGAATGGAACGTTATAGTAAGGGTGGGATTTCATCTAACAAAGATGAAGGAAACTTCTTTACGAAAACAAATCTTATTACTATTCCCCTTTGTATGGTATAACATGATGTGTTTGTGTTTCAAACTACTGGGTGCAACTTTTACAATTTGCAATAAGCTTTAAGTTTCAATAAACGAACTGCTAATAATTGGAGGCTTGTGTTGCACAAATATTGTTGGGATTGCCACGGGGCAAATATTGCAAACTGTTCGAATTAGATATAAGGCGAAAGGTTGTTTCGACGTCCAAAAAAGTTTGGAGAAAGATCAATGCTTTTTTGTCGCAGTTTTATGATAAATTGATTCAAATACTGTTAATAAGAGTGTTGTGTAAGTTTTCGTCAGAATTACCAACAAATACGATAAATTTCTTTCCTTGTGTAAGCTCTATTGTGAAATCGTCATCGTGTAATGGTCCAGACATATTACAAAATCAGCTAAAATCGCTACGAAATAACTCATGTAAGTCCTTTCAGTTGTGTTTACTTGTGTACAATCTGTGTTTTTACTCCTTAATGTATTAAATATACAAAGTACCGCATCTGAAAATATACTTCCTGAAAGGAGAAGACGTCGTTGTCAGCGGAAACAACGTTACTCAAGGGGAAACATCGAACTCGTTCGCTGAGGAAAACAAAAGCTCGTTTGCTTCCTTCAATTCATTGGTATAAACTCCTATGGCGTAAGGGAAGCTTCGATGAAATGCTTGATCATTACCCAGTTCGTTACTTCTCGCTGAATCCAATTTGCTACAAATGAACACGACTTGACAGAATTTTCTCGACCGTTCTATGAGAGGAACCACTGTCAAAATAGAGGACACATGGAAACAGCTAATACTGATCCTTTACAGAGGAAGGATTCTATTTGAGACAGTTTGCATTATGAATTTTGCATGAGGTAGTAAGTGCGTTCCTCATTACGCGCACTCACGTGAGTTGTCCTGCGCAGTTTTTGCAGTGAGCTTTCGGTTTGGGAGGAAAGATGTCTGAGGAGAAGCAAATGAGGCAAGTATTTAACCAAAACATGATCCATTTTCCTTAGATGTCTTATTGAAGCGAGCATTTTTCTTCAATGGTAGCTCTGCGTGTCGTTATTACCTCATCTGTTGCTTGTGCGCGCTGTCTAATGTTGATTGATCAATCATTACGGTTCACTTCCTTTTCGAGCAATCTTTAGAGTAACTTTTGAGATATTTTGGAGACATAGCGACAAGAAATGTACGATTTTAGTCAACTGTGCCTTGCAAGAATCAAGAAATCGTTAGTATTGAGCTTGTCTTTGCCTGTGGTCAACAAGAGCCTGAGCTGAACAGACTCGATACGTAAAGCTCTACCCTTTCGCTTTCGAATTTCCATCTCATTTGTTTCATCATGTTTTCCTTTTTGAATATATTCATCGATATTGAATATTTGTTGTAAGGTTTTTACAGAAAGGCCTTCTCAGGCTAACACTACCAATCCGTGAGCAAGGGAAATTGTTATTGCGTAAATAGGAAAATTAAATTTGGTCTTGTGTGGGACTTCCGCTTTCTTTTCAATATGTACTTTATATTTCCGATTATTTTACTGCAGTCTTTGAGAGATGGAAAGAACGTGTTTGGTGGGAGGAAATCCCGTTATTTAACGTGCATTTATCCATCTTATTTTGCAACGGAATGTTATAATAAGGGTTGGATGTTATCTGACAAAGATTACGGAACTTCGTTATCAATTTAATTGCTATTCCCTTCGCATGATATTAAATGATGTGTTT